CTTTGCACAATATTCTCTTATCTTAATCAGAAGTTAAACAAACTAAATTCCAGCAATCTGTTAGATTGTTATGATAAATGATCTGTAATAGAAGCAAACGGATTTTATTTTCTGAAATAATTCAGAAATGTAAAGAAAATCTAGCAAAAAACCAGTAGTTATCCATAAACTTTTCTCATTTCAGAAAATTTGCAGAAATTTTTTGAAAATTTTCTTAAAATTGATACTGCTTTCTTATAAACTAAAATTGTAAATGTCAAAAAGGATGAATTGCACAATGAATCCATAGAGACAATTTAATTTATGCGTTGTTGGTAGTGAATAGGTAAATTATGGAATTCTAAAATAAGTGTTATGATTTGAAGAGATGGAAGGTGATAAATCGCCGGAACTTATCTGAAATGTAGTTAAAAATGAATAATTTCAATGAGGAGGAAGTAATGGAATAAGAAGAGAGACACTGGATAAGAACTAATGTTGATTGATAAATTAGTTAGGACAGATGGAATTGATCAAGTTCGTTGAAGTATGAAATGAAAAGAGGTACTCATGACATAGGTCGTGCTGGTTTGGTCGCCAAAACATCGTCGAATGATCGTCAAGTTGTCGTGTGCTGTCCCCCAACAATGCCAATCAAATGCCCAGCCAAGCAAACTTGTTTCAACGTATATAACACTTCCACTGTCTATTTCAATATGATCAATTATATAATATATTGAAACATGTCGACTGCCATTTTCAAAATATAATTTTCACTCAGGTGTCACTCTATTGGCAAGCTTAATAGTACTGAAAATTATTATTTCAGTCTCTTCCTTGTTTAACGATTAATATCGCAATTTTAAAAACAGTGTACAGATTTAGCAGATTTAAACTGTGCTGATAAAAGCAAAAATTAAAGGAAGAATATAAAAGTTTATGTGACGATAAATGGTTGAGAGTGAACAAAATTCTTTTTTATCTTTCACAGAGAAGAAATTCTTTAAAACATAAATTTGCAAGTATTAAGATTGAGTAATGAAAACTATCAAAGAATCAACTTTATTTTCCGAAAGTGGGAACGGTTGTGAACTTAATGTTTAGCTGTTGAAATAAAAGATTAAACCTGAAATTTGGAAATGTTTTTTTGAAATAATCTCTTTCAAAAGAAGTAACATGGTCACTAAAATCGATGATATGGACTGAACTGATAGTTATAACATGCAGTAAGGTAGGCAATGCTCACAAGAGATTGGTTTAGAAAGGTCATTGGCTATTTTGCTATTAGCCACTGTCCTCTGCTTTCTTCTTTCGTCATTTTCTTCTTTTCGAAGAAGAGAACAGTGAATCCATAAATATTTCCATTAAGATTTTATCAACCGACCACTTTAAGTGCAGTACAAATTTTTATTACTTCATTCTTCTGTAGCCAGATATTGCGCTCTCAAAATACTTTAGATAACACTTTTTTATCTCTTCCTTATGCTTGCCATAAATCTTGCCGCTTTCAGTTCCCAATTACATTTTGGCATATTCGGACAATAATTAGCACTTTTGCTCTTCCGATCCAACCCATAGGAGACAATAAGTTGGAATAAATTAATTCATAAGCGCCAAAGTTAATTTTATATCTTAAAAAAAGTTGCGCAAATAGTCGTCTGCTCAGTATTTACCTCCTGCTGCTATCGAAACTGCACCACGCATTAATTGGTAATCCTTCTAATCGCAAAAAAACATATCTCTTTCGAATGTTTAACTTCAAAGTGTTTAGTGAAGCAGTGCCATCTAAGATATTTACTGAACAGTCAGGTTATATACAGTAAGCTTAAAAAATCATATGGATTTCACTAAGAGACAAAATTTAATCTATGCAACCTTTCGTTCTTCTTTTCTAATTCTATCTCGAGCCTCGAATGTGGTACTTACGAATAAAGGAAAGGTATACTGTGTAAAGATAATCATATAAATTCATATAAATAGTTAGAGCAGACTTTCAAAAATGAATAAATTTGCCACAAAAAATGCTGTAAATTGTTGAAGCAGTGCTGAAACATTAATAAAATTTTAATTTAATCAGATCAGGAAACCCAAAATCAGAACAAAGTTTCAATGGAAAATATGCCAAAATTATTTTGATTATAACTGACGGTTTTTGCTCGAAATATTTGATAATTTTAATCGAGATCAAATCTACTTTACATATATAATTGACTAATATAATAAGCTCAAAATTTGTTTTAAACATTATTTTCTATTCCAAATGAATATCGGTTTACAAAATTTTCTGCGTTATGAATACACTTCAGTTGATAACTTACCAAATGAACCGAATTTGACCCATTACAATATCATCTAGATATCAATCATCAGCAGAATTGATCTAAAGATAAAAAAGATTTCTGTTCATTTAAAATTAAAAATGATTGGCAGAAACTGAAGTAATGAGCTGCAAATGACAATCAACGAAGCAGACAAAGATGATACCACTGAAGGAAGAATTATCAGCAATAATTGATATATTCATAGTTATCCTTGCCAAGCTGTCCACATCTGTCTTCTTACCTTCAGGATTGTCATTTCATAATTTGTTACCCTTCTACTGTTTCTCTATCCGTCTTATTTAGCTATCATCGGGTAATCTTTTTCATTTAAATATTTAAATTTATCAGCTACTTTACAATAAAAAATCGTTCAATCGTTATATTGGATATTTAATTTGTTTAAATGATAAAATATTATCAGTGCTAATTTTCTAAAAAAGAGCTTGTACGAAATATTGTAATTTGTTTTATAAATCAATTGCATGGAAAAGAATAAAAACACAAAGTCTATATAATAAAAAATATTTTGATATCTTTTAAATACGACTATTTGTATTTATTAATTTCCCTAAATCATTCTAAGCGACTTGATTTTAAATTTTAGCCGAGTATGCATTAGACTTTAAATGCTAAGTTATACTATACATCCTACTGTTATGGCTTAGATTTTCAAAGTAGCTCAACATATTTAAGAATATTTGATAAGATAGTTCACTATTTTCAAATGAGACGTAAATAACTGCTATTGAAAATGATGACAAGAGATTAGAATGATTCACTAGCAAAGAATTTTACAAAAGTCATAAATTTTGAAAAATGTTTCTGCATTTTTCCCTAACACTTTTGTTCATCGGCTTCAAAAAAAGAGTTTTATGTTTAAAGTGAAAATAATAAAAAGAGGTCAAAGAGAGATGGCTAATTTTTTTGTGGTTTCAAATCAATTTTTGTAAGTATTTAATATGGCTGCAACGAAAATATCTAATTCTTAATAATGTTGTTAAAACAAGGACTGATAATAACTTTTATTCAGGCATAAGTCTTGATATTTCTCATATTAACGAAAATTTGGTGGTTAAGATATCTTAGAAGTTTTAACAATAGTTTAGTTTGGAATTTTAGCTACAAACAAATTCTAAATAGCAAAAGGGATTGGATTTCACCGGCTGTGAGATCAGAATGACGGCCGAAAAAAAATGATGTGTTATGTTATTTCCGATTTGCAAGGCTTTATAAGAAATTTTCGCTTCTACTATTTAATTTTATTTCTATCCTAATTAGAAAACATAATTCAGTTTCGTCTAAAATTTATCAGTGAACTTCTTTTCATTCCATTAATAATCATTTCAAGGAGCAGTGCATCTATCAGTGCTTTCATTGCATCGAGAAATGAAACAGTGATTGATAGTGAAGGGATGACATATTTATCCATAAATAACTCTTTTCCATTTTATTGATTCATTCAGTAAGAAAGACAAGTGGTGAGCAGAACGCGAAATAATCGTAAAATACAAAACCTTCTTTATTCGTTAATTTATTTTTAATTTTCGTGAAAAATAGTTTGGAAATAATTCAGCTTATTTTATGAAGCACATTTCCTTGTAATAAAAATTCAGCTCTATCAAGATTTATTTACTTTTTAGCTACTATTTCAAACAAAGTATATTCACGATTTATTTAGTTTACTAAAACTGGGGATGAAATGTTTCAGGTTATCCGGAAGTTTCCGAAGAAACTTATATACCTATTTTCACTGGTATGTCTGCTAATAGAAATAATTAATGAAGAAATTGATTATTTGACTGCAAATGAGACAAATATTTATCAGTAGAAACAGTGAAGAAAAGATTCGGTGGGAAGAAACAAAAAACAGTTGTGTAAGAGACAGCCAAACTAATGGTTTTGAATTACTTTCAACCTTAAATTAAAAATCTATTTTGATAATGCTAGTCTGTGTCTTAGTATTTGGATTCGATATCAAACATTTTTAGTTGAAATCACAAAATGAATTACTGATCATTTGTATCATTGAATTAAATATCAACCGCATAGTTAATCAATTCGGCATTTTATTCAACTGTAACTTCAGTGTTTACTTATTCGTTTACTTTTTTCACTAACTATTTAGCATTAATTTTTACTAGTTGAGTAGAAAACTAAATTGAATTGAATTTCGGAAAATTTTAAGTTGTAAATATTATATTATAGACTTCATTTCTGAGCGGTTACGCGATTCCATTGAAAACATAACTGAGGTAAAATTTTTGATTTCTCTTTATTTTTGTTAGCATTTAATTTGCATGAAATCAGTTTTTTTTTCTTTTAAATTTTATCGTTATACAATAACCGATACTCAGTTTCATTGGATACTTTGAGAATTTTCCATTGATATTACTTTTGATAAGAAAGACACCGCAACTTTTAATAAGTAAACCCTAACTTTTTTTTGTTGTTCACCTGCTGGTATCCTTGTCTATAACAAAATAAAAAAAGTCATCTACTCCTTTGTCGTAAACCGCAAATTTGCATAATATTTAATTCATAAATTGTTAGAAAGCTTATTCATCATTCCACTGCTCATTACCTTATCATATCATAACAATGGAATTCATTCTAAAAAATCGTTAAAATTTGTTGGTTTCAGGGACTTTAAGCAAAATCGAAATTTCTATTCACACAATGATTTCAGAAAAATACCACAAGATGAGTGCTTGTTATATTCCATCATTAAAAGTTGTATGTTTGGTGGTCGCAAATGCTGGTTTGATTATCGCAATCATCATAGCTGCAGCTCATCTTGGGAACGGTAATTATATCATTTTTTAGGATTTCCTGAAAAACTTTTTCTGCTCATCCGTTTTTCGCTCTCCAATTACCAATCCATATCTATGATAAAGTTGACTAAGATTTTTTTAAATATAAAGGAACGCAAAGCACGGTTGTGAAATTTACTGATTATCAACGCTCCTTAATCAAAATTGTATTAAAAATATCTAAAATTGGCTATCGTCCTATTTCTTTTTTTTTTTTTCGAAGTGTTAGACTTAAAAATGCAGGCCTTGATCACTTCTTAATTGTTCCTTTTTCATTTCAGTTCTCATTTCATATTATATGTATCTTTGACATGTATCTTTAAATATATATGCAAATGACAATAAACGTAAAAGATCCGTTAGCATTATCATTTCTTTCGATGTGCTTTCAATGCAAATATTGCAGAGGTCAATTATCGATCAGCAAAAGAATTTCTGCTACAGTTGCAAAGAGTGTATGACACTGCTGTTTATTCATTATTCGACATACTGATATTCTTCATTATAACTAATTTGATAAGTTTTGGGATGCGACTAAAAGTCACCATGGATAGTGTTAATTATATCACTCAACAGGTATCCTTTATACAAATTAAAACAGACAAACTAAACTAAACTGAAATACTTAATGATTCATCTAGGTTGATGATCAGCGCAAAGAATGCGAGGAAACCGTGCGTAGATTCGTATGCGATGCCTTTTTCGTTAGGAAATACTATGAGAATAAGCCAACAATTTTTGAACCTGTTGAAACATTATCAATTCAGGTATAATTATACTAGCGACTATAATGACCGTTCATTCCGGTTCACTCAAAATCAGAAATGATCCGTTCAGAATTTCTTTTTTCTTTTCTTCTGCATTGAGTTATTCGAACTCTCATTTATGAATGAAATGCGATACATTAGGTTAGTCAGAATAAAATAATAAATATACTAATTTCAAGCAAGCAGTATCAAAACATAAAGAAGTAAGAAAAGAACGAAGCATTGATGAAACAGTAAAAGAAATTAACAAACAATTAAAAATGCTTAAGAAAATGAACACCGTTATGAACCAGCCGGAGGCAAAGCAATTTGATTCAAATTTTGTGGTAAAATTTAATTCCAAAAATTGCTTTCATATGCTTTCAATAACTAATCGCTTTTATTTATCTAAAATGCTTTATTTATCTGAATAGTATCGTTTGTTTGTCTTTTAAAGCACCTAAATTATTTGCGATCAAATGCTCAATTTTAGGTTGTTGGTAAAAAATTTTATTATGAAGTTAAAGCATATGCCGAGCTACCTCAGATCACAAATTACTACAGAGAACTTAACTTTGCTAATTGTAGCAGTTATATATTTTATAATAAAATTAAACTTGGAGAACTTTTCATAATTTGATCAGCTACAGTGATAGATCGATATTTTCTCCTATATTTTGCAATATTCCCGAAGGATTGTCGAAAATTTCCATTTAATAGGTTCTTAAATTATTACCAAAAACCAATTATTGTTATTTTTCTCAATAAAAAATTGATGAGTTGAGAAGGGGTAATGTTGATCGATTTCAGAAACTAATTGAAGAATTAAACGGAACTGGGCAAACTATAATAGGAAAAGATGTAAGCAGAATAAAACAGGTAAATCCTACGTGTAATAATTTTTGTTTACGACTTTTTAAAAATATAGATGAAGAAACATATGCGAGTAGACAAATAAAGCAACGAATTCTCTATTATCGTATTGTTGTTCATTTTGTCTAAATATAGTTTTGTTGGAATCTTGGTAGTTATTTTAGAGTTTCATAATTAATTTTATTCAGATTTATTGCATTTGACTTCTCAGCATGAAAATTTTGCAGGAAGTTCGACATTAAACTGATTTACAAAGTAGTTCCCATGATCATCCATTCTATGAGAAAGTTAATTAAGGTTTTAATTGCTTAAAAATTTTTCAGGACAAGAAATTGTCAAGAACACAAGAAGATAAGTTGCGCATAGTGCTTAGATTAGATAAATTTGTTAGAAGTGTAAAATTTATGAAAGCAATTCCTTCTAAAATATCACAAAAAAAATAATTTAATAAATTTGGGCTAGTCATAAAAAGTTAAAAAAAAATAAAAAATACAATTCTATGACCGCTTCTCAGTAGACCATTTTCTCTATCAAAAGTTTTCTTATTTTCATCATAAAATTTAAGATTTTTGAGAAATTACTAAAAATTTAGGTTGATAAATTGGATTGCAGACTTAAGAAGTATTTTACGAGCAAATCAAGCGGGAAGAAAATATAAAAGTGGATATATTGATTTAACGCAGTACAGTATTAAAGATCAAAAGAGCCGAATGATAACCGACAAAACACAACTAAGTGCTGTGAAAAGCCCAAGTAGCCATCAGGCTAAAACGTCATCTCAAAGTAGAAAATCGATTTCGCCCTTTTCTTCGACGAATCGTGGATTCAGGGCGCCATCTTCAAAGGTAGCTGAGAAAATTCTTGGAGAAGACAAAACACAATCATCATTACATCGCACAAGTCAGAATCAAGTAACAGTGAATTTATCAACACCGAGTAAAAAAAGTGCAAAAATGATGAAACTTTTGAAGCCTTCCAAAACTACTCTACCAAAGTCATCCATAAGCCAAAATAGCCTGAAGAGTTTTTCCGGATACGAATGCTGTAGTACCGAAAGTAGTACCCAGATATATACCGATAGTGTCATTAAGACACCGATAAAAGAAGAGTCGCGAGAAAATATCAATCAGAGAATGACAAAAAGAATGAAGATGAGAAGGTGATAAAATGATCACAATGATGTTCTTGAATTGACAAAAATCTTTCAAAATTTCTAGGTGTCTATAATATTATCGGCTGGTCGTTCTCTGTTTATTAGAGCGTAATTAATTTTTTTTGTGTTAACCGACAACTTTGATCTTGTCGATGTAATATCATAGGTAGAAGTTAAATGGTAAAAGCATAGCTGCAATTGACATTTATAAATTTACATTTATAAAATAATAAATGGACAGTAATTTAGCACTTGGTTATCGAAATATTCAATTGCTGCTTTATTAAGTAGTGTAACCATAATGACAAATTTAGAATTGAAAAATTTTATTTATATTGAAAATTCGGATACAGGTGACATAATTATTAGTCCTAACAATTTGAAATTATCAGAAGTTATTTCATTTAAAATAATTCTGTTCATATCTCAGGTCTTTTTGAATGAAAAAAAAATATAAAAGCTTATGGTACAATTCATTTCAAAAATATTGACTGTTTACATTCCTTGAAAACGGACATATTAGTGTATAATATTTTCACTTTATCCATGCGTCGTTCCGAAAGAAATGAAAATTTAAATCATAATAAGAAATCGTGACAAATTAAATTCAAATTAAAAAATGCTAGGAAGTTGTGAATAAAGAAGTAAGGATTTGTGGTTTGTTTCCATGAAGACATAAATTTCGTCACTGGTGAAACAAAATAATTTTCAGAGCAGGTTTTCAACTCTGACCCTTTCTTTTTACTACATAAAAAACATTCTTCCTATATCACTTAGTTTTTAATTCTCCATATTCAATGAATGAAAACAGAAATGTTTAGTATATAATCCACAACTAACTTTAAAGTAATTTAATTAAGTTGCATGACTAACTCATAATGGCGTTTAAGATTATAAACAGAATGCTTAACATTAAGTATGATAGTATGATTTCCACTTCAAGCAGAGCTAATTTTTTTTTAGGTAATTGCTCAAAAATTAAATGAAATGAAAGAAGTGAAACATTCCTACTGAACTACAAAAAGCAATAATTATATTTGAAGAAAGGCTATATTTTTCTGTTAATAATTGGGCAGGAACATTGGCGAAAACTTTTTTCATGTTAATTATGGGCTTTGGGAAGAAGAGTGAAAGAGTTTTGGAATTTTTTGCAGTGTAACAGTTCTTCAAAGCGATTTAAATATCTAAAAAAATCGAATTCAGTAGCATACGAAGCTAAAATTTTATTCAGCATGATGTGATAGAACGAACTGTCAGATTACATTGGATAGGATTTTTTTAAAAGAATTTGATCACTTATTCTGAAATGTCCACAATTTCGTAGATTAGAAATAAGTCGTCCTAAGATTTCAAATTTCTCATTTCACCACCGCATTCAAATTTTTTTTAATCCGTAAATTCTAACAGCGTTACAATTTCTTTTTCAGAGTTAATGAGCTTAGTCCATCCACTACAGTACTACTTGAACTGATTATGAATGTAAAGCTTTAAGACATTTAATGCTGTTGAAAAGTAAATGTATGACAGAACTAAATAAATAAACAACTGAAAGCTGTCGATTGTATAATAAACTACCGTATTCCACAAAAAATACAAGAATGAAGGAAAGAAACTCCACCTCTATCTTTGTTAATATTCGGACACAACACCTTCCTGTTGTAATTTATACGTTATCCGTAGGTATACATGATTAGAATTCAGGAAAAGTGAAATTTTAAGAATTTTACGGGAACATTAATATTGATTAGCCAGTTGTTGAGTCTAGGAGTCATCAATTAAACAGAGTAATCACTGTAAACCAAATAGAAAAGATAAACTGTAAACAGATCTAGAATAGCATAAAAATAGCTTCATGTTGCTACGTGCTTTTCTTTTTCAGTGCTCGTTATTAAGTTAAATTTCGACAATAAAGCTAGCAATAAAAGATTCCTTATGGACAGTCTCGCTTTCTCTTTGGTGGTGAGTTTGTCACGGATAGATTCCGGTTTACTGATACAAAATCATTTCCAGATGCATGGTTTTGTATCTTAAAACCGAAATACATCTGTTCCAGTCATTCTTTGAATAAAAATAAAGCAATTTATTTAATTTTTTAAAGTTCAAGTTTTCTTATCAGTAATTGAGAAATATGCATTGCAAGAAACCTCTCATATTTAGAATTGTCATGCTTAATTATCAACATGAGTAACTAACTGTATCGTCTGAAATATAGTTGGACTACATTAATATAACTTTTTGCAATTTTTTTTACAATTATGGAACTATTTGACTAGTTATGATCGATCGAGAGCAAGGCGACAGAGTGGGAATCAAGAAATACGATATTGCTTTTTCAGGGGATTGAAACCTCACGATTTTCTATTCTTCCATATTTCAAATTATTCTGGAATGAATTTCTTTGAGAACGGAATTGTGAGGTAGAAAGTAGTGATTAATTCGCTTAAGTTAGAGAAACCTTTAAAGTCAACTTTTTATGAAGCAAATAAGTGGTTTGAAATGAGTTAGGTACAACTGTCTAATCATGTATTTATAGGATTATAAAATAGAATACTGCTGAGTATGTAAATTGATGATTCCGCGTGGCAATTTTCTCTCATAATATATCCATCCTAGTTGTTAAGCAGTACATATCAGTGTGTTTCTAAGGATCGAAAGATGAATGGAGGATTAGTACTACTGTATGACGACAAAGAAGCCCTAAATGCTTCAACTAATCATAAGACTAGCAGTACTTTGCACTAAACACCAGGTGGACGGGCTTTCTGCTTTGTCAACTACAGTATTCGCCCATTCAGTAATTACTGCAGATTTACATATTCAAATTATATTATTTATGAGTAGTTGTTATTAGTGAAGCGCCAATTGTTATGCTATGCTGGAAAAAAGAGTTACATCAACAGATGCAAACTTTTACGGTAAATGCAAATGAATTTTACATCATAGTAAGTGGTAACAAAGTATTTGTATGAATTTAAAAATTAAATATAGGAATTAAGCAAAAGTTATAATATTTTATCTCACTGCCAAATTTTGATAGCCTTATATGTATAAAAGCGACGTGTCGTTTCTTTATTGTGCTATTAAATTTTGCTTTCTGTCATAATGAAATTAATTTCATTCATTTTACTTTTTTTTTTGATTTTTTTCCATTGAGTTAATTTTGAATTTACCATATGTTTCTAAAACTTTAATTCAATCAGATGTCAGATTATATATTGCCATTTATGTTTCATTGAAGCCAGTTTTTTTTTTTTTTTTCAAAATAAAACCTTTAGTCGATTAACGATGAGGACATGTTATCGATGCTCAGCAAGCGACTAAAAAGCATTTATAGCGGAATATCAAAGTGATCAGTTCAGCTTCCAGCTGAGAACAAATATGCATAAATGAAATCGCTTTCCAGGCCGCTTGACTTTTGCATCTATAAGATTTCATCTTTACAGGTTTTATTGGTTATCAAGTTAATTCCTAAAATTTCCAACTGCGTACTTATATTTTTTAAGTTTTACAATAATTTAATAAAGCTTAGTTCATTTCTTGGAAGCTCTTCAATTGATTTTAAGTCTACATTACAAACACAAACAAAAATGCCCAGTTTTATTTTTGGATTGATTACTGTGTAAGAGTTCACAATTATATAAAGCAAATCTTAAAAAAAGTCTACTTCAGGAAGGATACAAATGTATTATTTAAATTTAAAATTATATGAGTGAAAAACTGGACTTGCAGCTCGTTAGCACTTTACCATTTCTTATGAAATGTATTTCAAATTGTTCTATTTGCTTTATTTTTCATCGCAGTCGCCAATGCTTGTTTTCTTATTCGTTTATAAACTTAAAAATAAAAAAGTTTTTACTCATTTTAAATGATCTCTAAATAATTCCAAAAGAGATCCAAATTATATAATTGCTTAATTAAAGGTTAGAGAAAGTTCCAGTTTCTATAGGAATTATGTTTTTCTCAATTATTAATATATGTTTAAATAAGAAGCACTTTTGTCGAAACTTCATGTGCTAAATTAAATGAAATTAATTTGCATAAGATACCGAATTAATTACCAAATTTTTTTATTTTCATTTGCAAATGAGTTATTTAACAAATTAATTTTCATGATATAATTTCGTGGCATAGTTAACATTAATAAATTGTGCAATATTTTAATTTTAATCTTCTTTAGATTAAGTATTAAAGTAAGCAATTTTATAAATGTGTACAATTGCTTGAATTTCAGATTTTATGGATGAAAGAACACAACGGAAACTAATACTGCCGTTCTTCCAAAAAAAAATTGAAGATAAAGACATGCTTAATCACCAGATGAAAACATCTTCACTTAGATAAAGATGTGTTCAATCTTCATAAACTAATTATCACCAATCGATAATAGCGTGATCTCAACGGAGAGCTGTTCAAACTTTTAGTGTAGTAGCAACCGGAAAGTTCTGATAATGCCAATCGCTAAATAATTACTTCAATTTGTCATCAGTTCACGGTTCACGGATTAGCGATTTTATTTTCCATTTGTGCATGCAATTTTAAAAGCTGAAGGTAAGTCCAGAAGTTAAAGATCACATTATTGAAAATAATTTATGTTACTCTAGATTTTCTAAAATAATCAATGATTAGCAGCACTTGATAATTCATCGTTGATAGTTAGTAACTTGTAACATACAATGAATTCAACATATGTTCGATACATTTTTAACTTTTTCATATAAATTGGTTCGTTATTATCAGAACGATTGATTGTCCACTTAAAAATTTTTTATGCCCTTCCCACTTCAAGGAAAATTGGCTCATTTCGGAAATAGGAATCTTGCTCAAAGAGGCTTAGTCCCATAAAGATTTTAAAAATTTTATCACTTGTCATTAAAATAACTCTTCTAAGAATACAAGTACTTTTTGAGTACTTTGGATTTTATACTCTTGGTTTCTTAAGCATTCTTTGATGCAGCTAAGGCTTGTTTTCTGATCGCTTTTTCAGAAATTAATTTTACAAAAGTGAATGTTTTATTTAAGAAAAAAGCGAAATTATTTTTTAATCAGTGCCATTTTTTTGTTCAAATCAGTAAATTTGAATGCTATTCTGCCGTTTTTAAACTAACATCTAAAAAGCTTTGCTGTTTTTTTGGATAATACTGAACTGTTTGTAATTTGTTGTTTGCCATACCTCAACAAAAATTATGAAAAAAAGAGAATTAAGATCATTAGAGACGGAAGGAGGGTCCATCTTTTATACATTGAAAAAATATTTCTTTAAATTTAATAAAGGAAGGCAACTTCATTTTTAGTGTTTTTCTCTTAGTCCATACATTGCACCATGAAAAATTGAATTTGCACATGCTAAACCAATTTGCTTTTTTTTCATTCAAAAACGAGACTCCAACACAATATCTTGCATGTTGTAATGTTTTAATTTTCCTAGAAACTTCTGTCAATAGTCTGCACTAATTTCATGTCTGAAGCGGAACTGCATCTAACGTAAACTTCTGCCAAATTATTTATTGTCATTAATTAGTTACAACTTGAATTAACATCTTAACTCGAAATAGTAAAGGGAAAGTGAAATGCATTAACTAAATAATTTGCGTATGCAAATTCTATCGCTGACTTTTTGTATTTTTTTGTTTCACTTTTACTTTGCATAAATATCCACGCAGATTCTTCAGGTAAAATATGTTGGAATGCTTGATGCATATTTGACAAAAAATAGATCAATTATTAAATGGCTTTGACATGGTGCGTCGAAATCCATTGTAGTTTTTTGAGTGCAGAAGTGTTACCGAGAAACATTTCAAATATTACAATTAGTAGCGTAAAATTTGCATGAGAGATTGAAATTCGTCTGCTGAATAAGTTTCTTTGATTCATCATGGACTAATTCATAAATATTTAATTAGCGCTCCTTTTTCTTCCCATTCTTTGTAACACTGCACTGTTCTCGTGTGATTATGTTTAACAATGGAAAATTTTTCAGCCATTGCAACTCTCGAATTTCTTGTGAGTTTAGCTAAAGTTATATTCAAAGCTGAAATAAATGTGCGTGCCATTGCCAGAAAACAAAAATCAATATGCCGACTAACGTTGTGGCAAAAATTATTGATATTTCTTGGAAGGAAATTTTCTTAAAATAATTTTTCAACAACTAAACCATATTGTCAAAAGAGAAGCAGCAACTTTACGTCCACCAAATCCAGTAGAGGAGATAGCTCTTTTGAGAATTAGACCCTTAGCATTTATTTATGATGCTGATAATTCAACAACAGAATCTTGCAGAGTATTCGGCATTTATTCGATTTTATTACTGGTTAGTTGTAATCAACATTTGAAGTCCACATGGTGTTGTTTGATCATTATGAAAGTACGTTGCAAAATGAAATTGTATCATATGAAAACTGTTGAACATTAATGGAAAGAAAATGAGAGCATTCTAAACAGGATACAATAATCTTCGTGAATTAGATATTCCTCAATTTCTAGTATCAAAAATAGTACCATAAAACAATTCATGATAAATGATGTATTTTAAAATAAGAATGTGATTTATTGTTTCTCTGACTAACTGACTAAATTTCATAAAAAAGGCAGGAGTTCAATCACAAACGAAGATCAGCCACATCTTAGTTGCAGTAGAGACGGCATTTCAAAAAATTGGTTATTTTCCTGTTCAGGTGACAATTTCTTTGCGACGAAAATAAAATAAATGTCAGAGCTTCTTTATTAATGTCAAAAATAGAAAGAACGAAATCGAATAACGGGGAGAATTAAAATGTGCAACAAATTTCGAATTCCAATATTTTCAGGTTAAGAAATTAGAGAAGAAGCTAATTGAAGTAATTACAAATCCTTGCTGATCGATTTATATTTGAATTGATATAGCAAAAGCTCTTATAATATAGTAAAAATTTATCAGTAACCATTCGGAAATTTCCAGGACAATCTAAAAAGTGTGCAGTTTTTAAATAGAAAATGTTGATTTGATATCCATAGTTTTTGATCAAAACCTTTGTCAGCTTTATTTTATATCGTTTTACTATTATTAATAGCACTATTCTGTAATAAACTTCGGAAACAATTTTTAGAAAATGAGCTCTTGAATTCCGACTTTCGAATTAAAGTTTTCATACAGTTATTATAGCAAAATGTTATTTTTATATAAAAATAGTTTTTTTTTTTTTTTTTCAGTTTTCTACTTCTCGTTTCATTATGAAAGAAACAATTGCCTTCTACAAATATCGAAGTAAGGTACATATTTCATCTTTATTTTTATCTTTTCTTTTATTTCCTTCACAACTGCATTTCTGATCACAATTTTAGAACAATATCTGAATTAGTCAATGTTAAAAATAATAGTATTTCATCGTTTTTTTCTTAACAATTTGTCACTGATTGCTTCTGACTACTCAAAAGATTGCAAAATTTTTGTTTTGTCATTATTGTACCAATCAAACAAAATGAGATGCCTCTGTGGGTAAAGAGCTGAATTAAAAACAAAGCTATTTGAAGTTTCAAAGTTGTAGAAAGATATTTCTTAGATTACATTTAACATTATTTCAAACAACTGGAAAAAGCTTCTTAAATATCCAGACACAATAGCAAATTTTTCAAGAAATATTTGAACTTTATACTAAAATTTTCAAACTAGAGGACTACTGCCAAATTTATGATAATACCATTTGTTGGTATTTTTACTTTTGTAAATTTCAAAACCTTATAAGAAAAAATACTTAAATATTTCCCTCAAAATACAGGTTAGATCATTTATGTAGTGTTCATATATTTTATTTCAAACGTTGACTTCATTCTTGTAATAATTGATTAAATTTTCTCATCTCTTTTGTGCTTTAACTGAAATTCTTCCAATCAAATTTTGATTCATCATTTTACAGCAGAAGAAATTTTCATTGCTAAAAACGTAGCGTTTTATCAGTTTCATATTATTAGCCAATTAAGTCGTAAAAGTTTCTACTGATGCAAGCGTAATTGACGTTCCGTTTACATCCCACACGCAGTTTAAATGTTTACGGTTTATGGTTTAAATGTTTACGGTTTTAAATAAACAAATCTTAAAGACTCCGTCCTAACTTCTGTCCAATGTCATTGACGAGTGTCACATATACTGCAAATTTTCTATACCAAACTTAACTTCCTCTAGTTTCATGCATCAAATCTGTTGCGATACACAGAGTTGAAAGAGTTGCATATTGGGACGCAGAAATGCCGCAAACCGCCTCGCTTATCCAAGATTGTCGTCTGGACCGCAAGTCGAGAATGATTGTTGGGGGTTGTTTTTCTGTAGTTTTGCTTGCTTCAATAAAAGGTATTGATTGCAGAATTGAACAATGAAAGCAACAAGAGAGAATTGATGGCAGTCTTTGAGAGGTTTGCTATGTTACTCCATGGATGGTTTGCTTGCACGAAGTGAATAAGTATAGCAATGGATTCTGGAGCATTTCTGGTGATTTACTTCATTTGAATACTGATTAAGACTGATTAAAGGGAAGATTATAATTGGTTTTATGGCCACTGAATTGGAACTTATAACTGAAGTTACATGAGCCAGGATTCAGGAAGAATTTAGAAATTTCAGTGATGAATAGTTAATGGCTTGAAGAAGACTTCGATTTAATGAAAACGTTTAGTTTTTCAATTGACATTTTAAAAGATAAAATCTGTGGACTTCAAAGTTACATGTAGTTCTTTAAAATATTTAAATCTACGATAAATTCTTTGCGTCGAATTTTGATCTACGATAAATTCTTTGCGTCGAAATATCACAATAATAAATTCTCATCCGGGAGTATTTTCTTCCGATTTCTGTAGATTTATTTCAGTTTAATAAGATAATTCAAGAAGCTGTTAAATTCCATGTTAATACTGACTAACTTAATTGATTAGTCTCTAATTTTCAAACGAACAATGCACGAAAATGGCTAAATTTTGCAGTAGCTGAATTCTCTATTGTGTTATTTTATAACCTTAGATTGATCCCACTTCAAAATTGAAGTCATAAGTAAAAAAGTTGCTTTTTCATTTCTACTATTAAGTAATCATTTCAAATCCGGTTGAATCAACATGTGTATAAGTAATTGAAGTTTACATAGTATTTTCTTCGAAAAGTTCTTCTGAAATTAATTACTTTATGGTCTTTTGTGAGGAATTTGATTTTGGTTTGTTTAAAAGCAAAGAAATTGGTTTAGTCAAATGAAAACTAATCATAATCGAAATCATCTCCATGTACAAGGCTGGAACTATTTCATTCCCAAGTTTGTTTTCTAGTTGTACTCTATCAGCAGGTTTTCATTAGCCGCTATTTTACTGTTTGATTTTTTTTTTCTAAATTATTTTCCAATCAGTACTATTCTAAATCATTTAAGGAAATGAATGTAGGACGTTAAATAATAATTAATGGAGCTGCAATCTTTCTAATTGTTCGACATCTGACTGAAACTTCTTGCTCACTTTTGATTATTTGTATCAATATTTATAAAATATCTGAATTCATATATTTGCAAACAGATGAAAATGTTTTTTTCCCTCGGTGAATTTACTTTAAGATGCAGTTCTTGTCTACGTTAGGTTTTTAAGGTGCATTCATTTTCACTATGTTTACATTTCGTTCATTCTATCCTGAAGTTAGTTGAATTGCTGAATTTTACTGTAAGATGAATGGTAAGCACTTCTTTTTTAGGGAAAGTCGTCGTCAGATATGTTCTGCAAAGATCTTTTGTTTAGATTAGTGAATCTTCGTCATTTGAGCTTTGAAAAAGAAAATAACTGCTTCAGTAGTGTTCTCAGTTTTCCTTTCCCTTTTCGATGTTTGTCATAAATTCGTAGAGGTAATTTAGAGCATGATGTTGGTTACATTCATTAAGCTGAGGCTAATCGATCAGGATTATTTTGCTTTATGTTATCTTAGTATCCTAGTCGAAACTTACCTAACACGGCATGAGTCCCGTTTATCAGCTTCTTGCTAACTGCTATAGTTGCATAGAATTGAAATTGGCTTCAAAAATCATTCATTTCTCAAATGTCAAAGTCTCCTTGCCTCCTTTCACGTGAAAATTTAATTTTCTTTCACACTTCGCAAAATTGTTTAAACCTACCTTTGCTAGTTTAGAAATATTCTTCATTTTTACTCATATAATGTTGCTACTTTCTTCTAGCAATCTAAAAAATCGTTTAGTAAAGAAACATTTTGATCTTTTACTTCCTTCACTTTCTTGAGAAAAATAAGCAGAAGTAAATTAATTTCCAAAATAAAAACTCCAATTCCATTGTTTTTTTTTTTTTTTTTCACTTTATTTTTTTCTTATCGCTTTGGACCTTTTATAGTTGAAATAGATGTATAATCATCTTCAGGGACATTTCCATAACACCATTATTTTTCATCGATTTCTTTTGCAGTTTATTTTTTTTGTGCAGAAAACGTTGCTGCAATGGATTATAGAATATATATATATTGTTTACAAGAGATTGTGAAGAACTGGTGCTGAGAACAAAGTGAGGGAAGAAATAGAATATTTGGTGTACGCTGAAGTGAAAGTCCTTTCAAGCATTGTTTTTGATGACTTCAGTTTATAGGCATTTATTCTTTTACATTTTCCGCAAAATGTGATAAATGGTCAGATAAATGAAAATATACGTCGTCATTTTGACGAATCGATTTCTTATCTCATTATCATTATTGTATGAGAATTTTTCTCGGAACTTTTATCCAACTAATAACTCGTTCCGTAGCAATTACGATGTGGAAAAAAGTAAAATACATTGGAACAAATATATGTTTTTCTTTTTTTTTTGGACAGTATTTGAAGAATTCTAAATAAATTACATCTTATACATAAAGCTCCAGTGCCAATCACCCGATTTATTTCATTTTGTCGAGGATGCAAAATTTCGATCATAGCTTTGAGTAGCATGTTCAGAGTGCTAGGTTGTTTTCTTTCATAAAATATACAGGTAAAACAAACAGCATACAGTAATGATTTGTTACATATATCTCTAGAAAATCATTTTTCAGTCTTCCAGTGATCATTGTCGCAACTTGCGATTTTCAGCTTGTGTGCACTTCGGTCGCCATCGCTTCACAGTAATAATAGTTGCAATTATCCCTTGTTTTTGTCAACGCGGCTTCACTGAAACAGAGTAATGGACCGTACTACACTGAAGTTTATTGTACCATTTGATTTGCCCACTGCCATTGGAAGCGGTTATCAAAGTTTAAAATTTCGTCGTGATTGAATATCACTTTTCTTACATGGGATTAAGTCGCTCTATCCATCCTAAACATTATGAGCATAAAATTTTTAGGGTTGTTGGAGTTGAAAATATTGAGACTTCGGACAACTTCTGTAGAATAATCATATGTATGATATTTGCCTTTTTTAATTACTCTTCCCTTCTGTAGTCATAAAGTTGTTCTACCACTGAAAGGTGCCATTTAGAAAATCTCCAAGAATCTCAAACGATTTTGATAATGATTTGGTGCTATGACAAGATTTTTCTACAGTAACAAAGGCATTATCAGTATGTTTTGCATTTATTTATTGTTTGTTTAATAACAATTTGTTTTCATCGATTTTCGATAAATAGCAGCCTTCGCCAGCCCTCTTTCTTTGACTGTGTAGCCGATCATCGTATTCTTTTTTTAAAACAAAAAGTTTCGGAAATTTCCTAACTTAAGTCACTTTTGAATTCTCAGTATTTACCTATCCCAGGTTGACATGAATATTTCATGGATATTGACTTGTTACAGCGATCGTTCCAATTGATAGTTCACACCTTAATAATGTTTTGTTTATCTGCGCTGTGGAATTCATGTGTTTCTGCACTTCAATTTAAATTAAAGACACATGAATTTTGTGAAAAAATTAGTATCACCAGTATGTATTAAGTAATGTAGTGAATAACATTAGTATTTAGCTGATTCAGTACAAATTCAATACTTCTTTATATTGGCAAAGATACATTAAATTCATTGGCCTTCAAGTTCATTTTCATTACTATTTCCTCTGCTTCCACTCAACTTTCGCTTTTTTTTTGGTTTCCTTGATATTTATTACTTTGTTGACGGTTGTTCCAAATTTATTTCGTTTTATTTTCCTTTACGTCTAATTATGCATTCTTCAAGATTTTGAATTAATTTTTTTTCGCTATCGTTGGCGTGAATTGGATGCTTGAATGCTTGAAATGTTAGTTTGTTTTTTAGTATCAAAGTGAATATTTTCTTTCAGCGACTCACTTGTACCAGTCCGATAAGCAAACTCTTGATTCTTAATGAATGCCTGCAGTATTTTTTAGTCGCTCGCATAACTGTTCTTTTAATTGATTTTACAATTTGTTCCAATTATAAGAGCTTATTCTACGTAAATCAAACAGAATTTTGCACTTTAATGATTTTTAAAACTTTAAGTTCGTTTTTATGCCAAATGTTTTTTAATTGGAAGAAATTCCTCGTTTTAGGAGCAAAAGTTTTCAAGTTGTTTGCAATGATAATATTTTTTATGTAGCTTGATGGTTTTCAATTAATGGTAAACAAATTTTTATGTCTGCAACATCCATTATCCATTACGAGCAGCAGTGGTATGCTTACCTTTTGATGAAAAAATGTTCAGGAGATATTAAGATTACCCTGCATTTTGTTTTTTATTATAAAATTGGGGAAAAAGCAGTTGAAAAGTGAAATTTACATAGGTTTGAGAATTAGATCCAACGGTACATGTTATTTTGGTGTATAGAGTCATTAAGCGCCTCTTTTATGCGAGTTTTGATGTAATGAGAAGCCGTATGAATTAACAGGAATCCATTCCCAACGCCATTACTGCGTTTATTCAGTCAGTAAATATTTTCTCGATATCCCTGTAGTCTGATGTAGTTCTCTTCATCGTCAGTTAAACTCCAGAATTATTCATTCAAATTAACTACTTTCTGCCATTTCTGAGATAAGCCTGATTCTAAGACAAACTTGGCGATATGATATTTTATGCTAAAACATGATATCGATTGGTAGATAATATACATAAATTCTCTCATGCAACGGCGTGAGATCAGTTTCATGTTCCTTTTGATTCATTCATTTTAATTATTTAACAATTAATCAGATTATTATTTAAGCCTAGTTGAACCTAACAGAAATCTTCTGGAATTCATTGAAACTTGGTCTTTCAACTGATTAAAATAATACAATGTAGAATAAAACAAGTAACTGGATATACACACTGATGATTTTTTATGGACATAGTTTGAACCCACAAAAAACTTTCTCTTTTCAGTCTGAAATTGTATTTTCATCGTTTGAAGGGCAATGAAATCAGTATACATTTGTGATAGTAATGCATACATTTTGTTTAAGGTACCAGTTGATTAAATTTTAAAATTAGACGTGTGAATTTGTTTGTGGGAACGTGTTTGATTTGTTGCTTAAAAATTGCCTGTATTTATTCATCTTTTGGTAGAGGAATTTTTTTCCGAATTGAATGACTGAAGGATAAAAAATGTTACCTCGTTCTAGTATAGATATCATTCATATTTTATCTTTCATCTGTACTTTAGTCACCGGGCGCTTGAAATAAGGTGCTAAAGTTTAGTTGAAAGTGAGAAAATGAGTAAGCAAAAGCAAATCATTTTCAATATTTATTCCTGAAATATTGGTTTTTATTCGAAAAGGCTCTCTCCTCATGGCAAGAGAAAATTGGAATCTGCTTTGTAGACTCACAAACTTTATTTTTTATGTTTTTAAGATGTACTTTTGGGCATATTTGAGTTCCTGTCATCCATAAATGAATTTTCTGTTTTGCTGAGCTTATTATATAGTGTTTGTAGTTCACATGGTGCTCTTCTTTCCTATTATAATTCTCAGTACGAAAGTTTCTTATTAAAATTTGATTTAACAGCACTTACATTTGCATTCCTTAGTCAATAGAAGAGAAAGCTAGAATGAACTTGACTTGGTTGGTATAAGTTTTAATTTTAATTACACATACTTTGACACTTTACCAGAATTTGATTTAATAAGTAATAATAAGTATTAGGTATAATTTAGGTTATAATTTTATAAATATATTGCGCTATTCATAACCAGTGAACTTCAGTAGTGTTCAAAAATCCTTGTCTGCACCTGAAGATCAAGGATTATATTTTCATAGTTGACTCAGGTCTGCATTTTTAGTACTTCATGATTTTACTTGAAAAACCATTTTATTTTCAAAATTCTATTTAAAGGTAGTTGGAAATTTCTATAACGAAACATGATCTTTGCAAGTTTGGTAAGTTAAAACTTTCCTCTTTTTCTGCTCTTTTCTGCAGGAAAAATTATTTTGATAGTCAAAATCAAGAAAATTTTTTTTGTCTAACGCGTGGAATAAAAGTCTCTTATTTTCTATAATTTTTATTTCGGTTACTGAGATATTTTAACAACCTTACTATTGAAATCTTGTAATCTCACACAGCAGTTATTTGTTGTTGTCACTTACTAATTATTAACTAGTTTATATCGTTTTAATTCCAGCGATCGTTTTTTTAATAAATTAATATTCCAGTTTCCAGCAAGTAATTGTCTCATTCAAATCAAGTTTAACTTTTTTTTTTTTTTTTATTACAAAGATCATGTTTCGTTATAGAAATTTCCAACTGCTTTTAAATAAAATTTTGAAAATAAAATGGTTTTTCAAGTAATGTGCCTGCTATTTAACATTGCAGAAGGAAAATTTCTTGTTTCCGGGATAAGCATTCTGTTTTCTTTTACAGATGGAATACACAGTAGCGCAGTCAGACTCGATTGAACGGATTGCTGCAGTACATGATTGTACTGTGGGTGAGCTGATGAAGATGAATCGACTTGCAACACGAATGGTAATTTTAGCATTTTTTTAGAGTTAATAATGTTTTAAAATAAGCATTATATCGATTGAGTTTGCTGCAAGAATATAAAAATATCTTTGTTTGCATTCTAATTATTATTTGATGTCGTGCTTTAACATATTTCATCTCTACGTTATCCAACTTAGTCGTTTTGTCGCATTATTGACGGAAACTTGTCATCAGGGTGAAGAGCACAGAGAGGCATACATGCAAAAAGGACACTAGTCAAAGGTCGAGGTCAGATTTCCAACGTCAGTAACTTAAGCAGTAACTGAATTGGTTAAGTATGGCGATCTTGATTTTCTTGCGATAAAGATGATGCTCATCTCTTCTGATGTGTCAAGCATAATGCATTGAATAGCTGATTATGTCTATTTTCGATAATAAGTCATGAGGATAAAACAAAAAGAATTCTGGTGTTGTGAAAAATTCAAGAAAGGATTCGGAGTAATTTGAAAGATTGCGATCTAGTAACTTCCAATAACTTAGTGATTTTTTGTTCATGCTCATAAAATTATTGTGTTCATTGGAGTGCATAGGATTCGACATATCATTTCTCTACTAAGGTTTTATACAAATACATCTTATAAACAGATAAGATGCTAACTAAGAAACTAACATGTTGAAGGTATTTCCTGGACAGAAGCTTCTTGTTCCTTATCCGTTGGATGAGAATGATGTCTGTAATGCTATTTCGGGAAGTCGTCTCTCTGCGAATCAAGCCACAATAACTGCTGGAAATTCAAGCGGTTAGCAAAAAAAAAATATATTTGCCTAATGTTTCAATAAAAGTATTTTAGTTTCGCTGAAGTTTGTAGGCATGAAAATTTTGAATATTACATTTTGGGGAACTGAAAGACTATTACATCACAGCATTGCAATTTGTATGTTTCATTCTTTTTTGCATAAATTCTTAAGTATTATGGATAGCCATATCTATCTGTTATATATTCGTATATGTCTCTCTGAATGCTTATATAGCTACTATCGTATGCCAAAATACCTTTTCTATCTTTAATTTCATTTTTTCTTCAATATAAGCGCATATTACTTCCAGTTATATATTTTGATTTCTCCAATTGTGTACTTTACATGTACGTTTTATGAAATTTAGCGTTAGATGTTTGAAATTCTGGAAATAATTTCGAGAGAATTTTATTCGTCCAGAATTTCATCCATGTTGTATAATTTAAATGTCAGAGAAATCTAGTTACCTTTATGCTTATCGCAGTCCATTACTAAAAAACTGGAATTCAATTTGATAGTTTCAAAAGGAACTTTTTTCGTCATCCTCGTGATATGGTTCATGTTGCTGGAGCCAGACGTAATTTTTTAGAATAAAAAAGCTACAAAAACTAGGTGTTTGATTATTTTATTTGTTATGCGGAGTTGGAACATAGAATGTCGAATTTGTTTGTTAAACCGTTTAGTGTTATCACTTATTAAGAAATAACTATATATATTTCCTCTTGACTTGTATTTTTCTCGTAATCTATTTGAACCAAATTATTGATCTGTGTTTTTATGATAAAAGGACAGTGTCTTTTTTATTGCCTCTCTATGTGAAGTTTTTTTTTTTTTTTTCTTCTAGACTTACGGATGACAGATAAAGCTCTTGATAGCTTGGAAAATCATAATTTGATAATAAGTATAACTGTAAGATTTGCAATGTGTTTTATATACTGTTTCAGGAGATAGAATTCGACGCGGGCCTGGAATGGCGGTTCAGGTGTGTGGCCCTACCGCCACACTATCAGATATTTCAAGAACTGCATTGGAAAAACATCGTATATCTTTGGCAGAAGATGAAACAAACACGGACTGTATGAAAAGATTCATCAAGTTAAAGGTAGAAGTTGAAGTAAAAAGAGGGGTAGAAAAACGGTTTTTACAGAAAAACTTTTTTTTAATAAAAAGAAGGTAAGCAATAGGAGTATTTGCTAGGGAAGTAGATTTTCAGTTTTTAATAACATTTTTTTTCTGAACAATTAGCCTCGAAATGTATGTATTTGTGACACGAAAGCTTGTGGGAGTGAAGTACCTTTTTGTTTATGCTTATTCTTGACTCTTATTCATTCCATTTGTGTAATTCAACTATACTCAAATTAAAGGTTAAACAAATGACTGAAGTTAATGGAACAGTGACAGGCACTTTGCTGGTGACACCTAGTGCCTTAATGTTTGATCCAGATGTTATACATCCTCTGGTTCTTGAGAATGGGCAGGATTTGTATATTATGATGGCTCGGTTAGTTTATATTATGCATTTATATCTCTTGTCACATAATTTTGTAAATTGCTTTTGTAAATAGTTAATTCAATGCTAGTATGTCATTTGAGACGCTCTTTTTATCTAATGTGAAATGGAGTATAGAAATTGATCCTTTTCGCTCGCTATGGAAAATAATGTTGTTCTGACTGTGTTCTAATTTGAAAGTTTGAAACTTGAAATTAAAAACATTTTACAGGATGGAAGAAGTGATTTCTGTAACGATGTTTAAGAGTGCTGCGGTATTAATTGATACTGAGGGCAATAAAGAATTTCACGATCTCGCTGTTCAAGATCCATCTGCTCCTGAATGTTCTACCGTTCTCGCGGCTGTTAGTTACCTTTTTATATCTAATAAACTGTCTGAATTTATAAACACTATTGCCTTTTCCATTTTCTGGGAATTTATTTTTGCAAGGTTTGTTTTGTTAAGCTAGTGAAATATTTTTGATGTAATTATTTTTTAACTTTATAAATCCAAAAAAAAAAAAAAATAGTTTGAGCAGTAATATCAAAAAATACATAAAGTATTAGGTAACGCCTAATCTTTCTTTTTTTCAAGTTCCGGGAGGAAACTGTTAGCAAAACATCGAAGAATTCGACAGATGACATTCATACAAATACAGGTATTTACTGTCTTCAAAATTATTTAGAAACATTTTTAGTTTTACTTTCATTTGTTTTTTCTCTTGTTATCAGACTATCATTTTCATTGTCAAACCTTCAACTTTTCCTTTTTGTAGAAAAAATTTCCACTTATTTTATGGACTTTAGCATGTTTTTAAGTTCTGTTTATAGTATTTTTCTTAATATTTTTACTGTTTCTCTTTAGGGATTGCGCATTCATAATAATTTTCAGGTGGTCAGTCGTCAAAAATCTTTTTTGATGACATGGACCTGGAACTAAAGCGGAAAGAAGATAAGGAGGTGAGTTACATTGTATAATTCACCCAGTGTTATCTTCTTTTAAGAAAATTGCGCAAAAATCTTTCCAATCTTCAAATGATAGAAAGTTTTTGTAATCAAAAAACTTTTTGTGTGCTATGAATTTCTCATTTTTTATTTACCGTTATGAAGCAACGCATCTAAAAATTCTCTAGGAGAAGATGACATTTATGCTTTTCACATGTCTTCCGAAAACTATATTATTTATATGCAACCGTATACATCTTGATATAACAATAATTTATACTATTTTTTCCCTTTTCTAAATAGGTTTAAAATCAATGAAAAAGATTCCACACATAGTATTCATTTAATAGAATACAGAGAAAAAACCTTTGTTTCTTTCTGCGCATTATTTATCCTTTTTTACTTTGTTGAATTCATTGGCTTGTTTCATGTAGTGATTAGTTTGACAGAAATAATCCAGCATATTTTTTTTAATTTGTGTATGTATAAATTATTTTATTTTGTTTTAAAATTATAACATGGATGGAAATGATTCTTTTATTTTGAAGCTTCCTGAGGTATTTCTTCTTAAGTTTTTAGAGAGAGCTTTACTTGTTTTTTCAAAATTTTAATTGAAAATTTGTTATCATTCTGAAAAATTTCCCTTTCACATGTTGCATCTTATCATTTTAAGAAAATGCAGTATTTCCGTATTACAGATACACATTGGACATGTTGGGTCGGATTTTAAATCCTTGCTGATTACCAAGAAAGGAAGTAAATTAGATGAAGCTGCTCGAACTGCTCGGCGCACTTATTCTGATCTGTCGAACGGTTCTGTTGTTTACATAACATGCCATCATGTCCATTCAAGTTTTTAGTTTAATTTTCAAATTTTGAGTTTGAAAATAAGCTTTCCTCTTATTTTTATTACTTTCATTCTGCTTTTCAGGGCGGAAAGGTAATGAAATTGACAAAATATTTATCTCTGGGTGAGTAATTAATGATTCTGGTTTAAAGATTTAATCATTTCTTCTCTTCAAGTTAGCGACATTCATGAATGTTCGCAAAACTAAATACTCTTCGGAAGTAAATACAAGTTTTGAACAGAAACGATAAGGACAAGCCGGAATATTGTTCGCAGCCCTCGACAAGCACAAATGTTGCACGTACTGGATTAACTTGTAATCCGCTTTCTAAACTCGGGAGAACGTTAAGGTCTGTTTAGATTTTATCCGTAAACTAATTGTCCTTATAATTTTCACTCCTTTGTTCTGAAAATTGTGTTTGTTACTTGGCGGTTCGTGATTTCAAGAAAATTATGTTTTAGTTTTCATGCAAACACCATTCGCGGTTCGGTGACCTCTGGAGCTGAACGTATGACACAGTCAGCAATGAGTGGTACAAAGTCAGTTGCTCAGGGTGTTGTTTCTCAAAGCAAAGCTGTTGCAGGTGAGGTCCAAAGTTGGTATTATGTTATTTCAAGTCGTGGGATTTCAATATTGACCATAGGTTAGCTTGCAGTAAGTCAGGGAGATATTACTTTTTAGCATTTGTTATTCTTTAGCACAAAACTGCATTATTCCTGATACTGGTATTGATTTTACTGTACTGTTTTACTGTTTTTGTCTTTCCTTGATCTACATTAGGATAGGAACAAAACTGGTTTTATTTTTTGGGAAGATAAATTAATGAAATGATAGTGCGATTTAATCGCTGAACTTTAAATGCTTCCATAATTAAAAAAACAGCCTGTCATGTTATTCGCTGCTCATTTTCTTGTTTAAAATCTTTTTTACACATTGGAATCGTATAGTAATTATGGCTTTTCTTGTATGTTTGGTTTTTTATTGTAGAATATTGGATAATAAAATTAATTGAAGAGGGATCGAATGTTGGAGGAATGCGAAGTAGATAACATAAATAAGAAGTTAGTATTCCATAAGTATAACAACAAAGAGCATTTCGAAATTTAATACACTAAAGTTGAAGATGATTGAAAAAAGTTAGTTAGTTTCCGTATTTGATGTTTTACTGAATTCTTTGTCACGTATTATTTTTTAACAGCTTTGTGGAAACATGAAATTTTTGTTTGAATAGGACGAAATGTGGTCTGGCAAATAAAGCATTTTAGGATGTGTATCTCGATATTTACTTTTTTTTGAAGCTCAATCATGTAGGCCAAATAATTGTACGCATCAAATTTATAACAATGTTTTTCAGGCACACTACAAACTGGTATTCAAACAAGTGTTAAAGTGGCAGCAAATCATGCGAAAACTGCTGTTGGTGTAGTAACTACAATGCCGCAAGGTATCGCTAGCATGGGTAGCGGTTTGTTCTCTGCATCGCAACATCCTGAAACGTTTTTTGAGGTTAGCATGTTTTTAGTTTTGCTTTGATCTTACTCAATATGAATTTAAATACGCGTAGAAGATGTTCCTTTGGAATGTTTCTGTGTTAGTTCATTTTATATTTTAGAAGCTCTGGGAAAAACTTCCAATACAGTTAAAAGTTTTTCTAATACTATATCAAGTACTACCACTAATAATGAAATTGGTGTCGTGCTAAAATCATTTGATCATATTGAAATGGTTTCGGACTTTACTGATTATGCTGTTCTCCTCTTTCTAGACTTTATTTTTCTCTCTTTAGATGTAGGAAAAGTGGAGAGTTTACTAACATTGTGCGGCTTTAATTCTAATTTCATAACCTTTAATTGTTTGCTGTGGGAACTTCATTTAGATCCAGATTACACTAGTTTGTTTCACTTCTTGAATTTAAGACCATACTTTAAATGCTCATCAAATCGTATGAAAGTATCGTATGATTTAATTGACTTGGCATTCAGAAATATCCGATATTAAAATATTACCGATTAAGTTATTTGCACTAAATTTGATCTGCTCAACTTTTTTCTCATAATTTATATATAACACTATAATGTTAAGCTTAAATTCAATCATCAAGCATTGTTTTTCACTATAACAGTAATTGGATTCTTAAATCAGGATAAGGCTGTTTCAAAGACACGAAAAGAGCAAAATTTGGCTACGTTACTCTCGTTAAAAGAAAAGACTCAAAAACTGAGAGAGGAAGCAATGAAAAACAAGCAGTAAGTACTAGGAAACATTGGCATCTTGATCAGCGAGATTTTCGAAAGACATGTTTCCTTTTCAGTTACCATGATGAATTTTTTCTCTGTTCAGTTAAGTACTATAATTATCTCCAAGATCTAAAATATTACCACTTATCAAAAGTGACAAAATGACAATGACCATTAACGTTTGGCCAGGAAATTAAATATCATGATAGAATTTTGGAATAAGAAAATTTGATATTAGAAAGAGAATTAATTAGTTATAAAATAAGACCAGTGAAATTAAAACATCAATGAATATTTTGATTTATTATATATTTATCTGCTTTTTGTGAATTTATACTCCTTTTATCCTTTTTACAGCTTCTTTTGCGCTACATCAACGGATGAAATGATAAACCTGTTCAAACCGGTACACGAACTTCCTTCTGCTACACAAACATTTTCAGCAGCTGAAAAAAGCACCTTGACTGACTTACCGTACTATATGGTTGTTCGTCTGAACAGAAAAAAAAAGTGTGACAAAGGTAATTACATCTGTTTGAACGTTATGAAAAGGGAAAGCGAAGTAAAGGAAAGTTCTACTAATTTTTTTTTTTTTTTTTTTTGTATCGGATGAGTTGTCTGAAATACTATCATATGGAATTTCCTGTATTTATTGTATATACTCTAATTTCTTAAATTTTAGTTTTATTTGACAGCTTATCGAAACCGTGAAACCATGTATTTCACTCTTTCAATCAAGTTTTGATTAATAATTTTTGGTTTTGAGAACGATTCTCAGCAATTGATACTGTGCGTTCATCACCAGCAACTACCGAAGATGTGATTGCTAACGATGCAAGACAAGAATTCTGGTTTGCTATACCAAAGCATAAAGTTGATGCTATTTATCACTTCCTATTGCAGTGGAATCCAGAGAAATATGGGTCTGTAAGTTTTTGCTCTTTGAATATTTGTCTTTTTTGAAGAATGAGGCATTTCAAAAAAATTTTTCAGCAGATTTAAGAATCAATTAAATTGAAAGAAGCAGTGGAAATATATGTTAAGTCATTTTTGGATATTTTTTTTTTAGTTTCTTTTAAAATTTGTAATCTTTTTTGTCCTTTACAGAGTATAAATGAGTCAGTTGATCAGCAGGAAATATGCGAGATGTTTGAAGACTGTGAATTTGTGGTTCTGGACTCAGAAACTAGCGAGAAATTTGCAAGTTGGTTATTATTTTGTTCTTTGAAGTATTTATTCATAGATTTCATTTTAAAAGTATTTATTCTTAAATTTCAATTTTTTACATTTCTTACATGTGTCATGTTGCTGTTAATATATCTAACTTATTTTTATTGTTTTGTTATATAACATTATTATTAATATTTTTTAGTAAGTATCATTATTTGGACAACAATTAAAAATACTCATTTTATTTTCTGGAAAAGTTTTTAGACAATTTTTACGTGTTTTACTTCATTAATTGCTAGATTTCTTTTCTCTAATGCATCAAATTTCTAAAGTATTCAGCGATGTAATTTTTTATGAATCGCTAGTGTATTTAATTTATTTTTATTTTTTTGTTATATAATCATTAATTTAGCAAATGCCTTCTTATATAAGGTTATTATAACGAAAGATCGTGTCATCTAAATAGGTCACTGAAATAATATTATTATTCGTAATAGTACTCATGAAATGCTCATAGTACATCATAGATGAAAATAGTGCAAGGAAGGACATACAGACTGATTTGATGTTCTCGGTTGCATGTTTCGAATATTATGATAGTTTCGCTGTGGTATTTACGCAAAGCAAGAATTTCTTTGCCGATTCGGAGACAGCTGCTCATATTAGTATGCATAGCGAAAAGGGGATAGTTCCTTGTTCATTATTACCCACCTTATCAGTTGTAATTTTTATAGCCATATTAATTATCCAACTTAAACTCGCTGATTTTTATGCTTTTCAATGTACTGCTGCCACAATTTTTATTTCTTCTAAGAAGTATATTCTCATTAATCTCACCCGGCTTACCTGCTGTTCATTAGTTTTTATGGTTTCTTTTCTAAATTGCATAGAGGATGCCGTTAATTGAATACCCTGATTAGGATTGAAAGGGTTTATCTTGTAGTTTTACCAATCATCGCATATCCTGAATAGAGTGTTTTACAATAATTGATGCTATTCTTAAGAATTTATCAGTTCTTTTTTTATTTCACTGAATTCTGCCCTTTTATCTGTATCATTTATTACATGCCGAACCACAAGTTTGTTTTTATATGCGACGTAGATAATATTCTTTCCCAGCAGTCAGCAATAATGTTTTTGGAAGAAAGATTTTGCTTAATAAAATCCAGTTATATCTGATTTGGCACTATTCTTGTTTTTTGTTGAAACTAGAACCTTGCGCATTATTTTTTAGCATTAGTTTTAAGTAATTTCTAGAACATCTTCAGCGAAATCTACATATATTTACTTTTTCTCTGTTGTTTATTCTATAATAATCGAATTGGTTAAACTCACTAAAATTCTGTCGGATAGTGATTGATGGAATATGCTGTTTGTAAGCTAGAGAATTGTATGCAAATAAAACTAAGAAGTAGATATTTAGAATACGCTTTACATTTTTAGAGATTTCTTGATACTTGTAGTTCTCATAAAGGTGATCCTTTGTTAATCTTATGTCTGACAATAAAGAACATTTCGACTTTTTTCTCTTCTAGTTGAGAAAATTGAAAATGTAAATTCTGAAAGCAATTTCAATATATCATAGTTGATATTGCTCACTGATCACTTGTCTTTTGTTGCATGTTATTGAAACTTAAAGATGCGTGATATCATGATAAACCCCTATTCATTGCTGCCGTTGTTATTGTGAACAAATGAAATGGAACAGGTTGAACAAATCGCCGTTGTTCGATTCTTCCATTCATTGCCCTTTCATCGTCGTTTCATATGTATCAATTATATATTTGATCATTTCATTTTTGATGTAGGAAGCACTTTTTCCACTTAAAAATCTTCGAAGGCTTTTTTAGAAATAAAAAGTTAGTTTATCACAGCTACGATGAAATGTAATCTTTTTTCACAAAGTCCAGAATTTCGCATAACTGATTCTTATTGTATTCTAGATGAGAACCATGCTATTAACCGGTTAGCAAAATACTTCGACAAAACACTTCCGTGAATTATAATGTGAACATCAAAGAGAAAAAGATTAGCTTAGGTGTATATATATTTTTTACATTGCTTATATTGGAAAGTCCTTAAACGAAATACTTGAGCTAATTCCACTATTTTTTATTGCTATTTATTTTATCCTTTGCATTCAATGTTACTGTTTACTTAGCAAATGTTCGCTAAATTTTTGGAAAAGGAGGCATTTGTTGAACAGACATGGGCTCTGCATTTTCAAAGTTTGAGACAACGCGTCTGCTGCAACAATTCTTTCCTGTTCCTGTTTTTAATGCCACTCGCTCCGCTGCTTGGAAAACAGTACCGCTTTTCCATTATCGTTTTTGTTGTTTACAAAGGACATTATCTGAAAGTCGTTTTAAATGCAGCAAATGATGACTAATAAATGCATTTGCTGAGCAAGTCGTACAAACATTAAGAGGTATTGATTTCTCCATCAGTTAACGGCTAAAGATGTTGACTGAAATATAGTTCCTTAAAATTTTAAGATTAATGGAATTCATTCATTTTTTCAATTTTTCATTAGTATCAATGTAGTTTTTTTCTTTTTCGTTGTATCAATAGTATTAGGAAGAACTCATTTCGTGAAAGATGCCATTCTCTGGATAAGGATTTTCAAGAATTTACTCTAATACAAAATTCACCTCTGAGATCATGTAATGTGATATCTCCAAAGCATTCCATTTCTCAGCTATTCTGGAATAATTTTACGGAAACAATAACAAAAAAGCAGTGCTGTACAAAAATTCCCTACTATTTTTGGAGTAAAAATTAATTTTTGAATCCACTATTAAAAAATAATGATGCATATCACAATTTTTTTTAAATTCAAGTTGAATTCGTGAGTTTTTTCAAAAATTGCTCATTTTCAAAATTATTTATTTTCCACACGCTTTTCAAATGTATTTCGATAAGAAATTATCTTTATAAAACGTTTCTTCACTTTGTCTACCATTCCCAGTTATATCATTTCACATTGTGAATGAAGTGGTAGTAGCCTTATTTTTCGAAACCTTTTGCCTTCATTTGTTTTAGTTTATGTCTAACTTTTTTCAGATAGTAAATGTATTAAGAAGTTTACTTTCTTTCAAATTTATATGGACAAAAACTGTTTCTGTAGATGCAGTTTCCATACTGAAACGGGGATTTAGGGTTCTGCATGAAGATTTCCAGTAATGACAAAAATTGCGTAGAAATTTACTTTCAGTAATATTTGCTTATTTAATCGATTTAAATGAGTAAATGAGGTGTTTAAATGGGTAAATGAGACAATAAGCTTGATATATGATTTAAAGAAGCTTTTTTTCGATGTGATTTTCGAAAACACGAAGTTAGCTCGTAGTTAAATATGTAAAAACTTCGTGGTGATCTTTGGTGGAAAATTTTATGCATTTGATAACAACCGTTTGCAGTATTTATGCTCACATAATCTCATGCTCATGCAGACTAAAAATCACATTTCACAACCATCTATAGAAGCTGTCAAGAAATCAGTGTTTTTGTCCTAAAATCAACAGGTATCGCAAGTAGTGAAGTGATACTGTTGCAAATACCTTATCTAAATTTATTTTGAAACATCAGATTGGCTGGATTTCGTAATATGTATGAAACTTGGCTTAATTTCGATATGTGCTCATATTCTCTTATTCGGAATATCGCAATTATTGCAAAAGAAGGCTGAGCAAAATTTAAAAAGGAAGAGACCAAAACTAATTTTAAATTCAAAAAAAGTTTTCTTTTTTCCGAATGCGCTGCTTTCCTTCTCTTTCCTTATTAAATTTTTCGTTGTTTTTCATAGTTCTGCCCTTTATTTGCCGCAGAAATTACTTTTCACATCATCATAAAAGAATTTTGCTTCCTTCATTCTACTTCCATTTGTTCATATGTGCATTCTGGAATGGTTTTATGGATCATTATTGATGTGTCATCATTTCATAACGACATAGAAGTTCTTTTTAATGTCTTGGACGGTTATTTTTAATATTAAATTGTCCATTGAAGTTAATCTAAGCTTCATTTTTCTTGATGAATGATGAAAGAACTTATGAAGAAGTAGCTGCTGTTTGTGGATGCATGCTGTCATCTTCCAGGATAAATTGGTAATTTATTACATATAAACTTTTTTTTAGTACACGTAATTGGTATATTATTTTCCGCGTCTAATTCTGTTCAGATATAATTCAAGATAATGCATTTTTCAACAACATTTATATGGAACTTTTTGGCAGTTTCTTTTTATGTGCTCTGTTTAAAGTCTACTTATGTGAACTCCAGGTTATTGCCTTAACCTTAAGAATGTAATTGGTTATACAAATGAAACCAGTTTTTTTTTTTTGATCAACTTCTTATCTGTGTAGAATTAATGGGTTTTACCTCCTCCTACCGTTCAGTCTCTCTTTTGGCGCGTTGTATTATAAAGAGCAGGTATTATAGGTTGCAAAATAATTACGAAATCTCCGGAAATATCAGAAATGACTCATCAGTAATAATAATTCAACTTATTGAATATATGTGTGTGTATGTGTGTTTATATACATAAGTATTGTATGCAATATTAATCACAGTTTTTTCAATTTGCTAAGATGCTAATTGTATTAGTTTTGATGCGTTTCAGAGGTACACTTGCTTGATTGTGATTGTGTGAAAATTTAATTATGACTGCAAAAATTTATACTTCAGCACAATTCAGTGGTTTCAGTATATATTCTTTTTTTGTTCTACTGATAAATACTATGACGATACGCTCCAATTTTCAAATATTATCATGAGGTGTAAGACTTTAAGGAACGGATTTTATATCCGTCATATCGAACAATTTTTTCATTTTCTATTTAATTAACACTTTTGATTGCATTAATTTTGGTTATTTTAGATGCTTAAATTTTTCAAATCTTGTGCACTTCTCTGTGAAATGTTTCACAGCTGACAGATTTTTATACAGTTTATCATTTGTCGTCATTTTTTTATTTAATGGATTTAAATGAATTTCACTTCAATGTATTTATGAAAAGATTTCTTTTCCTAATTCGAAACGCTTTAAATAAAACTGCTAATTTGAATTTAATGGAAAGTTTTTGGAACGAATATTGATCTGTTTTATTCTGTTTCTGTCGGGCAAATTTTTCTTTATCGGTAGTTTGTTTCAGTGATGCACAAAAATGGTTTGATGGTATTTCAATAAGGAAAAAAAAAGACTTTGTTTCCCTCTTCATCATAGGTCAGATGACGATATTTTTTTGATTTCATGTGATATTCTCGTGGAACAAAAAAAATCAAAAATTCTATTATTGCAAGTGAAGAAATTTCCTTTATTTTTTTCTGTTTCGTTAAATTACTATTGATGTAACCCGGCATAAAATTCTTTAAAATTTTTAATGTTTTGAGAGAATCATACCTTCCAATGACCACTTTTATTTGGCTAGGAAACATAAAAAGTCAAGATTCCAGTCTTAAGT